CTGCTCTCCATCTCTGCCTTCCAGCTCAGGGGGCTGAGTACCCTGGCGATAACTGGTCTGACTATTAAAGACTGAGGCAAAGAAGGCTTTAAGTACCTCAGCCTTCTCCTCATCCTCGGTGGCAATGTTCCCTGCCGCAGCCAATAAAGGATGGAGATTCTCCTTGGATCTCTTTTTGTTGTTGATGTATTTGTAAAAACTTTTTTTTATCTCTTAGAACAGTGGCCGGGTTGAGTTCTAGCTGGGCTTTTGCCTTTCTAATTTCCTCTCTGCATGACCTAACGAGATCCCTGTACTCTTCTTGAATTGCCTTGCCCCTTCTTCCAAAAGTGGCAAACTCTCCTTTTTCTTCCTGTGTCCCAGCAAAAGCTCCCTCTTGGGAGCTGGGCTCCAACATCCAGCTGGGCTTTGCTGATGTTGAGCTTTCAGGAGGTCTCTGGGATCACAACGGTGATACAAGCCTCTTGGGTTTCAAGTGGGTTTCAGAGTTTCCACTTTTAAGTCTTGAGGATGCACAGGATGCCCTGCTCAAACAAGCAGAGTCTTGAAGCGAGCTTCAATTCCAGTGGACAGAAATCAAAGCAGAAATGGAAACCAAAGGTTTCAGAAGAGGCTTGAGTGTGACGGGTAAGGGACAAGCTGTACTAAACAACACCCGTGTAAGAGGGAGGGAAAAGCTAAGCCAAGGGAAAGCTTGATTTTGTAGAAAATGATTATTCAATGCAGATCAAACATGGAAAGCAAGAAAAATGTCAGGCTGAAGTCCATCTGATAAACCAGAAAATGGGATTGTCACATGGGTGACATTTGAAAAACAAAAAAAAGATTTTAAAGCTTTTCACAAGATCAGCAAAGACAATAGGCACGGACTCTGGGGAAGCAATGAAAAGTGGTTGCTACAACTGCAGATGGAGAGCAACCAGTAAGATCATAGAATCACAGAATCGTTTAGGTTGGAAAAGCCCTTTAAGATCAAGTCCAACCGTTCCCCTAACCCTGCCATCCCACCACTAAACCCTGGCCCTAAGCACCGCGTCTGCCTGTAAGATAATGCTTGGAAAACTGAAAATAACTCAGTACATGTGGCAGGGTAAAGTGTAAAAGCTTACTGACCCCCTGATGGTCACTGAAGATGTATGGCAGAGACGGGGGAGACGACCATGGGTCAATCACCTCCAGTCCAACTGCAGGAGAAAAATGACGTGTGGAGGCAGAAACCTAATCTCCAAGCTAGTAATGGGAATTTCAAATAAACTTGCTGGGCAGAGGGCACACAAATATACATTAACTATCTAACTGCAAACAGTTGACACAGTGATTCATGAACTCAACTTGAAAAAAATACCAATCCCCACCGATTCAGCTACGGGCAGAGTCAGCTTGACGGACAAGCGGCATGGGAAACGAGGACAAGGTCAACAGAAAACCACAAAAGAGGAAGAGGTGGCAAACCAGGCATAATATATATAGAATTGTCTAGGTTGGAAAAGACCTTTAAGGCCATCAAGTCCAAATATATGAGAATGTGAAACCTGTTTCAGTTCAGCCTAATAACACTAATTAGGAAAGGAGATAAAATAACTGAAGTTGGCCAACCAGACTATCATGGTGAAATAAAGCAAAGGGTCGCTGACTCCGCAGACACGGGCAATAAAAGCAGAGAGAGCGCATACACAGGGGAAGGGAGGCTGTGGTAAAACCATGACGGAATAGTTAGGAGCAAAAGGATGGAATTCAGTAAAAAGGGGAGGGGGGAGGGAAATTAAAGCTGATTATCTGCAAAAATGGCCTTGTAGCAAAAAAAACTGTAAGCGTCAAATTTGGACAAAGTACTCAAGGGCATGTTCCAGAAAACAGCTCGGTATCAGTCCGAAGACTGACAACAGCACAGTACATTTCCCTTATCTTGGTTTCTCAAGAAAAACCACCAGTCACCACGCTTGTAAAGCTAAACATCATTCTTGCAGAAGAAAACAAGTCAGTAATTGGAAGCCAGGACATTCCAGCTCCATATTATGCCATGGACCATCTGACCAGAAAGTTTTAAGCGTGAAATTTAGACTCCAGCCCACAGAGACATGACCCTACTGGGATCTTTGTTACGCTGCAGAATAGAAACGGGGCAACCCTTTTTCTCCAAACTTCACAATTCATTATCAAATAGTATTTCAGCTTCGCAGGATAAGGGATCTTTTTTGAGGATGAAAAAGCTGGAAGCTGCCCCCCCGCATGCTTAACATCGTTGCCTATGCTTTAGAAGAAATCTCCATTTATTCTTTTGAGGTTATGTTTTGCCTTTGTAATTAAGCCTGGAGATCTGTAGATGCTCCATGAAGTTACAAATGAGAACAGAATCATACGTACAAACATCCATTAACTTAGGAAAAATGCCAAGTGATGGACAGATGTTGGTCCTTATCATTCCTTCTCCTCCCAGCAATACGGTTGACTTCTCAGCTCGGCCTTCTCCCTGCCTTACCAAGGGGCACGTACATAAAATCAGGATCCCATCCCTTACACGGAGAGCAGCCAGCAAGTACCAGCATGTTCTGATGCGAAGGGAACAGCTATTCCATAAATCTGAAACACGTTCTGGACAACAGCGGAGTTTACACAGACCACAAGAATTACAGGAATTAACCCCCTCTTGTTTACCACGTTTAAAAAGAGATCTAGTGTAGATCCAGCAGGGTAAGGGGATACGGCAGCAGCAGCAAGATCCAACTCAAAAGTACTGAAATGCAAACCACGCACATTTGGAAATGTTTTGCATGTTCTAAATATAAAAGGAGCTTCTCCTTTTTTGTTTAAGTTCTCCTAATTAGGAAAAGCTGATTAAACAACTTATCTGGAAAGCCGGTAGCGTAAACAAAAGCCTGTTTTCTGGAGCAGAGGTGTCCAGCTGCCTTCTCTTAGGGCGTTGATTTTAATTTTTTATGATTGTTCATCAACCAAGGTAAACACGTCAGGCGGGGGGGTTACAACCCACCGAGGCTAGATGGATTTTTTCAGAGATCCACACTGAATCGTGTGGGCTTTCACACTGCCCGAACCTCTTTGCTTGTTACTGTTTCATGGCACTTACAGCAGCGCTGCTTCTGTCATCTTCTCCCCCCCCCCATTCCCCCCCACTCCTCTCTTCCCTTTTTCTTCGCATTCTTTTTTCCCCCTTCATGATTATTCCTAAATCCGTAACTCCAATACAGAGGCGTAGCTCCCAATTTCTTCCCCACTGCACTGTGGACTGGGGAAACAAGCCCAAGAAATATTTGGGAGAACAATATTCTCTCTCCCCTCCCCAAATTTTGGAAAGGGACATCTGGGTGGCTTCCACGTCTCCAAGGCCCTGGCTGAGGTTGTCTGCTGGTGCGGGCTGATGTTGCCACATCTGTTTACACCGAGAACACCGCTATTCACCAACACCACAGCCTGATTATTATTATTTTTTTTTTAAACAAAAGCTTAGATTCTGCAGTTTCTGCATACACCGTACAGACCATAAATACCTCGGCCAGCGGCAGCTCTGACACTTCTGCTCCGGAGTTTTAAAATCTCATCAATGACCTTTCAGTGTTTCATTTGGAGATTATTTCCTTTCATCACACCACTTCTCTCTTGACTTCTCCTGAATTGGTTTCAGATACAAATCTAATCTAAGCTCTGATGAGGGTGGTGAAACACTGGAACAGGTTGCCCAGAGAGGGGGTGGAGGCCCCATCCCTGGGAACATTCAAGGCCAGGTTGGACGGGGCTGTGAGCAACCTGATCTAGTTAGCGGTGTCCCTGCTCACTGCAGGGGGGTTGGACTAGATGACCACTAGTGGTCCCTTCCAACCCTAAACATTCTATGATTCTATGATTCTATGGTATTCTTAGGCCTCACCAAGTTTATTTTATGCTGCTCTCTTTCCTCTTGACACGTTCCTTGTGCATAAATACACACGCACATACATTTTTATACAAACGCACGCACACATATATACACTGAATAATGGTAAGGAACAGCTGGATCCTCTGCAAACCAAGCCTAACATGAGGTCAAAACCTTCCCGTGCCTGAGAAACACTTGGGACCTAAAAAGCAAAGGCAGTCGCTTAACTTTGAGAAGAATGTGACTGACGGCATTTGTGTGAAACCACAAATATTTATTTTTAATGAAAAAATACTTGAAGTGTGCCACAGTGTCCATATATTCATTTGAATAGTAGTACAAAGATATGTATTTCTGAGAAAAAGTCTTAACACTGTAGAAAATAAATGTGGTTCTTAAATTATGTCAAAAGAAACCAGTAAAAAAGTAATGTTTTATACACTGGAATAAAATGAAACAATTAGAGATAATAATAAATTATAATTACAGTATTTCAAATATTTGCTTCATGCTTTCTTCAGCATTAGTTTCTAAATGTGTCACGTATCATACGCTCTCAGAAGCCAGCAGTCAGAATGGTCTTTCAATGGTACCGTGGAAAATAGGATGTGGAGCTGAATAAAGTCCTAGAAAAATGACACCACCGTTTGTTATTTACTGATACATAAAACATCAGAACATGGCAGTTTTAGGTTTGTATCTAACATACATTTTTGTTAATGGAAATTAATTTAGCTTTTTTTTTTTTTTTTTTTTTTAAAATCAACTAATCTTTTATACTTTAACGAACTAAACAGCAGTGATGGTCATTAACAAGTATGACACCCAAGCACACTGCACAACCCTGCTTACGGGATGCTACGCGTCGCATTGGCTTTTTATACAGTCAAGGTTAACAAGAATTTGGAATCATTTCAGGTCTAATTAAGCACTGCAAAATGTTTAAAACTATAAAGTGCTTTTAAATACAAATCAGTTTTGCTCTTTAGAAATCGGAAAAAATCCAAACATGCACTTAAACCTGAAACCTCCATGCCATTGCATACTGCAGTTCAACAGTAAACCATCAGTTTTGTGCCATTTGGTTTAAAATTTCCTTTCCCATCCCGCCCCATCCCAAGCAAAAAATTCAAAGAGTGTCTAAATTGGATTTGTCAGTCTCTTCTTGGTCGTGTTTGCACATGAAGGTTAGGAGGAAGAGAGCGATATCCAGAGATGACCAATAGGCGGTGTGCGACGTGACTGCGGACCAGTATCTGCTCTCCACGAGACCTTCCCTGAGCTCGAAATCAATCCTGTGCTCCAGTTCCACTGCAAAGTGAGAAAGAAGCAAACCCGTTGTTAGAATGGTAGGTCGGCAGGAGATAAAACCCCGGCATGTTTTTCCATCAGCTTTGGGTTCCGATTCTGCTCGCGGTACAGAAAATGCACGTGGTATCTCTGCGCTTACACTTACCGCTGCACTCACCTAAGTCAGCTGTGATTTTTCATAGCATCATGGAATCACAGAATCGTTTGGGTTGGAAAAGACCTTTAAGATCAGCAAGCCCAACCGTTATCCTAACCCTGCCATCCCACCACTAAACCCCAGCCCTAAGCAATCTGAATAATATCTACGTACATTTTTATGCACAT